ATGTATGTATGTATGTATGTATGTATGTATGTATGTATGTATGTATGTATGTATGCATGCATGTATGTATGTATGTATGTATGTATGTGAGTATGCATGCATATGTGTATGTGTATTTCTGAATGTGTGTGTGTGTGTATGTGTGTATTTGTGCATTATGTGTATGACATTTTTACGATTCAATTTTTTCTTACGGCTCATTTCGAAATAGTGATTAATGCCCGGTGAACACTACGAATAGATTTAATTTGATTTAGCCAGGACCGGTCAGTTTTCCTTTCGTGGAAGGGCAAAAGCTACCATTTTGGCACAATAAAACGTTATTCGATTTATGAGCTTGAAAACAACAGCGTCTGATTTTGAAGGTCACTGTCGAATTCAATTGCATTTGGTCAAGTGGAGCCAAAATGACAACGTTTGTCCAATCCAAAAGAATTCGATTGACAATGTGCACTCGGTGTTAAGAATACGTTTCGTCTTTCTTTTTATCTGCAGGAACAACGTTCTAGAACTGTCTCCTGGATTTGAGCATTTGAACGGTCTCCCGTGGCACACCAGCCTGGCGCTTGCAGTCTCAATCCTTGTCACAACCTTAGGAATTATAAAAGGCGTCAAGTCTGTCGGAAAAGTATGATTTTATTGTCAGTATGAATTCACGTTAATTATTTTTTTCATTTACTCTTCAGCTTCTAATACCTCTCACCTCCAACTGAGGGTAATACGTTGAACACAGACAAAAGGTCCTTGAGAGTGGCATTTTTAAAGACAAAACAATACACTCAAACGTTCACATTATAGTGCGCTCTGAAATTTGTGGCGCAACTTATAGTCAAATATTTCCTTAACCCTATTCGTACACCCTGGGGTCATTTTGCACCCCCGGGGTTTTATTCTTCACATTTTACAATACTTCTAGTAGGAATATCTCTTCGAAACTTTCAGTATTTCTAAAAACACAAAACCGTTTTGACAGATTGCTATGCAAAGCGTACGGATAGGATTGTTTGTTTTGAAAGAGTTATACGCACTTGCAACACAATAAGGTCATATAATTGCGAAGATTAGAGGTGTTCCAAGTGAGTAACAAACACAAAAAAGAAAGAGGGGAGATAAAGACGATAGATGTTTGATAGGAAAGAAGAAGCAAACTACACCAGAGCACCCGCCAACCACCCATCCGGATGCGATTAATGAGTAAATTTCCTCTTTGATAGAGTTCCCCACGTCGTATGGATACGATAGTAAAACATGACGAACGGATAGGGTTAACTATCGAATAATAAGACTCTCCGGCTTTCGCACAATGAGTTGTATCAATTTGTCTCAACATATCATATTTTTATAGACCCCTGTAAGCTGTATTCTACAAAGTTCCTCAATATAAACTACTTTTAAAAATCCAAGTGAGTGGTTTCTTCAGATTTTAAAAGGCTTACAGCTGGGGCAAAATCGCTTTTAAAAGCAAGTCCTTCATTTTTTTCTAATCGCGACATTATGCTTATTGAACTCATGTTTGGAAAACCTTTAGAGCAAAAAAAAATAATAATGCGTTCATATACAGTTCATCTCTTGTAACAAGTTTTGACACTAAAGTGTTATTGGTGAACTGTGATGCAAGCCATATACATGAATAAATTTATGTGAGAGGAGGGAAGTGTTATGAACAATCCCATTAAAAAAAAATAATTAAAAAATCTTGCCTCAATTGTTGTGAAAAAATATGATTAAGTTAAGACAAATTGATTCAAACTGTTGTACAAAGTATGGATGGCGTTGCTTCCCTCGTTAAAGTGATATTATGAGGATACGTTGCGCCACGAATTGTTGACCGCATTTTGCACTATCAAAGATAGTACATAACAAGATGGTCCACTCAGCCAAAAAAGTGTCCGCCGGAAGTCTGCTCTTTGCTTCAGATGGCGCTGCAGTCTGTTTTGAAGATCTCTTTCGTTTTTTCCAGAAGAAGAATAGGAATAGCACCTCCTTGCGTGCGCAGATCGACAGCTGTTCATCAGCAGTTCGGGTTCGTTCAGTGCGGAGTTTTAGGTTTTAACATTTTTTAATGACCTCTTGCCTTTCATTCTAAAGTCAAGTTAAACGAAGAAAACAATCACCCCTTCCTCCGAAAGAGGTTTTTTGTCAGCATAACCATTTTAAAAAAGCGTTCTTCCGAAGTTTGTTCAAAAACTTGCTAGTTTCACTTTGATTTTTTAAACTCAAGTAAGGTAACTCTGTTCGCAAAGGATGCGCATTTGCGAAGAGGGCGCCACCGAATTTTGAGGACACTTTTTCAATTGGCTCAAAGAGAGGAGTGGCCCCTCTTGTTATGTAGACTCTTTGGTATCATGGAGCTCACCAAACATGTACAATTTTGGAGAATTGATGAGATGATCACAAATGTTAACCTTAAAGGTCTGTCATACCCAACTTGAGAAACTTGTTAAAGATAAGACCCGTATGAACATTTTGAAATGTAATCATTGTACAAATATCCTCAAACGAAAAGTGATTATCAGTTTCACACCGAGGGGTCTTAATTTCTCTTTAAAATTTCAACCTTTTATTTCTAAAGAGCTAAATGTGAGTTTTTGGCGGGTGCTCTGGTGTGATTCGCTTCTTCTTTCCGATCAAACGTCCTTATCTCCCCTTCTTCTTTTTATGTTTGTTACTCTCTTGTAACACCTCTAATCTTCTGGCGCTCATATGACCTTATGCAGTTGCGAGCGTCGTAAAACCTCTACTAAAACTGTTTAAAAAGAGCTAAATACAAATGAAACAATGTCATGTCTCCTTGGTGCAGGTGGTGTATGTGACGGCCACCCTCCCGTACATTCTCATCACCATTCTCATCATCAAGGGCGCCACGTTGGATGGGGCAGGGGACGGTGTATTATTTTACCTCAAGCCAGACTTCAGGTGAGAGTTTACCTAACTGCCTTAGATACTTTCTATCTACCAATCACTTTTAAAAACCCATTTACTTACTTCCCTGTTACAATTCATCCTGACTATACCAACCTATCTTTAAAAAAAAATAAATTATTAGCAGACTATAACCGTCCACCCGATAGAAAAGAGAGTCAGATTTCTCCGTCCCTCGGAGTGCCTCGGGCAATACCTGCCTCGCTAAACCAGGGGGCACAAGGCCGGAGGAGTAGCGGAGAACAGATACCACCTTTGATCGCAGCCAAAAGGCCGAGAACCAATCTATCTTTTGTTCAATACTTTTAAAATGTTCTTCTATACATGTCGTCGTCTGGATAATTCAGCGATATGCATAATGTGTAATTTGGCCTTACACCTTAGTTTGTATAAATGTGTAGGTGTTTGTCTGTTGTTTTTTATATTACTTTGTATGAGTTTGTCGGTGTTTGTTTGGGGTTTGTGTTGGGGTTTCTTTTGTTTGTTTGTTGTTGTTGTTGTTTTTTTTGGTGTTTTTTTTTTTTGTTGAAGTTTAAAAGATACATTTGAAAGAGAAAAAAAAAGCGCATCCTATTTATTTCTCTCTAGTAAACGGGCCATAACCAGTGAAAATATCTCGACATTATGAGTTGTCTTTCCTGGATAATCTCAACAGCTACAAGTAGCCGCTCAGACTAGTCATATTATTATTTATTATGAGATCATTTTAAAAGATGAATATTGTATACATCTGACATGTTCATACACTGCGTAAATATTTGTTTATACAAACACGTACAAATGAGAATGTACGTGTATTTATGTATTTGTGTGTGCATGTGTGTATGTGTGTGTGTTTGTGTGAGTGTGTTTGTGTGTGTGTGTTTGTGTGTGTGTGTGTGTGTGTGTGTGTGTGTGTG